GGCCCCACCATCTCGCCGTCAACGTAGGCGCTGCCGCTGGCGTCCCAGACCGCCAGTGCCACCTGGCACGCCGCCCCCTCCCTACACGGCGGCGCTGCCGCACTCACGCCTCCCCTGCCGCCTGTCCGCCAGCGCTTCATCCCATCCTAGCTCGGGCTCAGCTCCTGCACGTGCCGGCCCACGCCCACCAAAGCTGTACGCCGGCGCCCCCGCCCGCTCAATCACTGGCCACACAATCCGCAACGCGGGCCCCGTCAGGTTAAAGCCGTCGGCAATCCTTGTCGCGCCACTCACCGCAGCGTTCATACAACGGTAATCGCCGGCTCATTGGGTAGCATTCCCAGCACCGGACAAAAAACCAACCAACCCATCTGCAGGCACGGGAGAGCTGCAGGCTGCCCAGCCTTGTGACCCGCTGCAGCTGCTCGGTGAGGGGCACAAGAAGAAGGTTGCTTGTCTCATTGCCCCTTCTCTCGTACACTGCAAACAAGTTATCATCCTTTGCGTACAGCAAAGCACTGAAGCCGTGACGCTGCAGCGGCCTTCGGCGCCTTGCCGCTTTCCTCCCTGCGCCGGTGTGTGGCCCCAACACCGCCCCCGACAAATACTCAAAGACCACAGCCTCGTTGCGGTGGCGAAGCGAAGCCCGCCCGCCAGCCGCCGAAGGAAAAGGGAAGCCACCCCATTCCTCAGACAAGAAACGCGCCTCGTGCAGGGAGCACAAGTACGCCGCGCCCCGGTGCCAGCACCAGTCCTTTCAGCCGGAACACGCTCCAACTACTCCACTGCGCCCTGCGAGACAGAGGGACAGTGTCGGGTCTGCGCGTGCAGCGGAACGGCCCGAGGTCACGCCCCACCCCAACGCACCACCGAAGCCGCGTGTTCCTGCTCTGGTGACACAACGCCCGCCCCAACCCTGGCATACCAACGGCAGCGCGGGCACCTCGCATCCCCCGGCACCCGGCACTGCACCACCACCGCACTACAAACCGGTCGGCCGGCCTCACCAGAGGAACTGCCTGCAACTCCATCCGTCCGCTCTCCGGCAGTGTTCAGCCCTGCAGGAAGCCGCCGCCCGGATCGAGACGCGCGATGTGCCACAGGATGGCGACGGACTCGAAGACGCAGCCCTCCTCTGTCTGCAGCGCGGGGTAGCGGCCGCACGGACTGAAATTGCAGCAACATCTCCTCCATCCCGTTCTCGCGGCCAAACCATCACGGGCATGTTGGCGAGGGCTGCCGCCACCAGAACACTCGTGCCTTCACGCGTCCTCAAAGGTTCACACCGCTCCACAGCGTGAGCGACATGGTGTGTGTGTGTGTGTGTTAGCTCCTACACATGCAGACTACCTGCACTGAACAAAAAAAAAAAACCAAGGAAAAAAAGAAGGGCTGCAAGAGACAATGAGACAGCAAATCAACACGAATGGCAGCTAGGCGCAGAAACAGAAATGCATTGGATGGACACACACGCAGCGCGGGGAATGGGCGCAGTCGATCAAAAAAAGACAAACAAACATCAAAACACAATAAACACATCCCGTAAAGTGAAGCCGAAGCGTGGGCACGTCCACCGAGTAGTGGGGACGCGCAGCAACAAGTGGGATGACCAGCACACACATATGCTCCCCTCCTTCCCTTTGAGCACAGTCCAGGCAGAAAGAAAGAGAGAGGTCACCCACCAAAAACAAATATAAAAACAATATAAAACAAAAAAACAGTTCCATGCATTTCGCAGGAATGGTGGTAGTACAAAGCGGGAGTTGCAGTTACGTTACAAAAAGAGCGCCGAGGCGCTGTTAATGTGTGTGGGTACGTTGCATTATGACCGTGTTATACATCTTGAGTGCGTGGCTCCACAGTCCACGGATACATACATACACATATATGCACATTATTGTCCCACCGCACATTTTTTGTGCCCAGCCGCTGCTGCTCAGAGAGGCGCCATCACCACGGCGGCAGCCACGGCGAGAACCGCAAGGGAACTGAGACCAACAGCAACAACTGAAGTGTCACCGAGTCCGAATGCCTTCCCTCCGCGATTCCCGTTGCCTCCAACGCTGCTTTTCCCATACGGGTTCGGAGTAACCTCACCACGCATGCTGGTTGGGTTGCTTTTCTCGCTGGTGCTGTGCGACCGATCCGTTGAGGGTGAGGCATCGGGCTCATCACGCATGCTGGTTGGGTTGTTTTCCTCGCTGGTACTGTGCGATTGATACGTTGAGGGTGAGGCATCGGGCTTAGGATTAGTGCCGCCTGATTCATCATTTGTGTCTGCAGGGTTTGACTCCTCCGCCAATGGTGGGGCAACGACTGGTATTGGGAGGGCCCAGGTGTTGGGGAAGGCTGCGCACACGTCGGCATATTTGGGGCACCTGATGCTCCCCCCGCTCCATTCGCCCCCCGACGGCGCAACCGTCTCACCCTCATTGCAGTCGTGCCACGTGTCGTCGCCAAGGAACTGCACCCTCAGATTACCCCCACTGCACTGCGTGTTCACACACACATCGCCAATCTCTTTGTTATCAAAAAGAAGCCCCTCCCCTTTTACGCACCGTGAGCTCGAGCCAATGAAACTTCCAGGGAACTTATTAGGGCCACCGTTTAGACACTCATACGCCGCACGCTCAACAACAAACGGACAAAAGTCCATATACCCCGATTCACCTCCAAGTATGGGGTTATCAAAGTACTGAAACTGCGGTGGAAGGCGACGGTAGTGATTTTTTAGCTTACACGTCCCCAGAGAAAGACGATCATACGTGCAGAGCAGTCTTTGTTTATTCGACGGCTGTTTACAGAACAACTCAGGGTAGGCGGTGCTGCCGTTGGTGAAGCACCTATTTTCCAGCAGCCCGCAGCCAGAGTTGTTGCCCCACCGCAACTGCTCCGCCATGTCGTAGTTAGCCTTGTACACACCCATGTCCTCAAATGCAGCAAGCGTGAATGCCGAGTAATAAGCGATCCGGCTCCCAGGGCTCATCAACTCGTCCCGTGCACTGAGTTCCTCCCAGTGGCTCAGACTTGCCCCCCGACTAGTCCCGTCCTCCAGCTCCATGCCCTCAAGTGTGGGGCAATTGTGGTACTTCCTCGCCAGCTCCTTCACCTTCGGTGAGGAAACCACCCACACCTCCTTCTTCCCTCGCACATTGGGGACCCTGGAGACCATATTGAGCTTCTTAAAGCGATAGAACGAAAACCCAAGGGCGTGCCCAATCTCGTGCGCTGCAGTACCAACAGCTTCATGAGTGGCCTTTATGTACTTGGGGTTGAAGTTCACAACGCCAGCATACGTACGTCCGTCCTTCAGAAAGACGCACATATTCGCCCATGCAATAGTGCCCTCACTCACGAGAGTGTCAACGTAGAGAATTAGGTCGGCGCCGCTCACGCCGATCGTGTGGTGCCAGGGAGGGATGGTGAAATCGCTGCACCGCCCTATACCATAATCTGGTATGGGGATGGGGTACTCCACAGGCCTCACGGAGAGACGCTCGGCGTGCAGCTTAATTGCGGCCGGGAGGAGTTGCTTCAAAACAATGTCTTTCTTCGCCTCCGTCAACATCATGTCGTCCGTGCATTTCACCCTGCTGCCATTGACCAGGCGCCAAGGCCTTTCTGGGAGGCAGTGCTTCCACTGATCCTTCATGTCCTCCGCAGACACTTTGATGCGGATCGGGGCCCACTCACTCTCCACGCCCTGTGCGTCGACGGTGTACGCCTGCATCTCGCCCTGTCCTCTGCGCGGCACGTCACGCACCACCGCAGTCGCCGGCTGCCACCTCCCCATCATCTCGTCAAACCCGCAGCGGTGCTTCCGGGTGGAATCGACGGCGAGACACCCAGCGGCCCAACACAACAACAGCAGCAAAAACATCGTCAGTGATAGAAACGGCATGCTGCGGGGTGGCTGGCACATCGCCTGAAGAAACTGCCTGTGTTGCCTCCGTTTGAACATCAGCAGCGGCATTATTAGTGGTGGCAGTAGTAGCAGTAGTAGTAGTGGCGCAGACCTTTTT